AAACTACAGGTTCAAAAGCTACAGGTTCAAAACCAGTGCTGAAAGCTCTTCTTTTTGGGTTCAAGCTGATCCTGGAGCACTCCAAGGAGCAGGGGTAGTGCAGCTGTTGGCACATCCAAACGTGGCTCTCTCTGGGCTGCAGCTCAGCAGGCACTGCTGGATGTCCCTTCACTCATCACATCAAACAAGGCGATGACTGACCTTGTGTTATTGCAGCAGCATCCTGTGCAGCCCTTGGGCTGTGTCTGCAGAGCTGGCATCAGCCAGGCCGAGCTGCTGGCACTCCTTGGCACTGCCACACACCCTCAGTGCAACCCTGGCAGGGACCCAAACCCTGCAGCTCGGGGCCAGAGCCTCACTGAGTGTTGGAGCCTTTTCCCTTGGCAGGGCAGAGCTCAGAGCCTGCTCAGGGCTGAGCTCAGAGCCTGCTCAGGCTGTGCTCAGGCCAGGCTGTAGGCCGGGCTTTAGGCCAGGCTGTAGGCCAGGCTGTAGGCCATGCTGTAGGCCAGGCTTTAGGCCAGGCTTTAGGCCATGCTGTAGGCCAGGCTTTAGGCCAGGCTTTAGGCCAGGCTGTAGGCCAGGCTTCAGGCCAGGCTTCAGGCCAGGCTTTAGGCCAGGCTTCAGGCCAGGCTTTAGGCCGGGCTTTAGGCCAGACTTTAGGCCAGGCTGTAGGCAGGGAGGCCCTGGCAGCTCTACCCAGGGCTTGGCAGGGTAGAGCCTGACGTGGCTGTGGCTGCCCGGCCCTGGGGTTTGGGTTTGGGCTCTGCAGAGCTGCACTCTGGGCACATCCCCTGCAGTCCTGCTCTTCCTTAAAAGGAGAAATGGAGAGGCTGGAGCAGCATTGCCAGGGATGCAGGGCTGGGAGCAGGAGCTCAGTGAGGCTCTGGGGTCCTGCTGGGGGAGCAGCTCTGTGCTCACCCCCACAGGCCAGGGTCAGGGAGGGCTTAGCCAAACCAACAGCAGGTTCAGAGCCAAAAATTCAGGGGTAATTTGCAATTTGCAACTCTTCATTGCAGGATGTTTGCCTAGAGTTCAAAGGAAATATGCATTTAAAACTAAAACCCGACCAAATTTCTGGAAAGAACTCCGTCAAGGGTGGTCACATGGCTGATGTGGATGTGCCTCCTGCCCAAGATGTTGTCCATGCCCATGCTGGCAGCTGAGAGGCTCCCTAGGGAAGTGTCCCTGCTGGATCTGGTGCTTCCCCTGGCTGGGCTGTGCCTCCAGCCAGCCTGATGGCACTTCTGTCCCCAGCAGTGTCACAGAAACAGTGTGAGCAGTGCCAGCTGTGCTCCTGGGCTGCTGCTCCTGGGCCTGGGTGGTGACAGGGACACAGCCCTGCAGGTGACAGGGACAGCCCTGTAGGAGACAGGTGACAGGGCCAGCCCTGCAGGTGCCAGGGCCAGCCCTGCAGGTGCCAGGGGACAGGGACACAGCCCTGCAGGTGACAGGGTGACAGCCCTATGGGTGACCGGGTCACAGCCCTGCAGGTGACAGGGGACAGCCCTGTAGTGACAGATGACATGGGCCAGCCCTGCAGGTGACATGAGACAGGGGACAGCCCTGCAGGTGCCAGGTGCCAGTGNGCAGGCCAGTGTCACACCATGGCCACCCTGGCCAGGTGCTGGGTGGTATTCTTTACCTTTTTTATTCAAGGTTCTGATAAAAGACCCCATAAATGTCACATGCATGAGCTAAACCTGCTGTAGATGATCCCAGTTTATTTCTGATTCTTTGGGGGGGTTTAGGAACATCTGGGAGTTCCTGAGCACTGCACAAAGGTTTGGTGTAATGGCACAGGGGCATGGGGGGTTTAGGAACATCTGGGAATTACTGAACACTGCACAAAGGGTTGGTGTGAAGGCACAGGGGACGTGGTGGGGTTTAGGAACATCTGGGGATTACTGAGCACTGCAGAAACATTTGGTGTGCATGCACAGAGGACATGGCACGTTTAGGAAGATCTGGGGGTTACTGAGCCCTGCACAAAGGGTTGGTGCACAGGCACAGGGGACATGGTGGGGTTTAGGAACATCTGGGAATTACTGAGCACTGCACAAAAGGTTGGTGCACAGGGGAAATGGGGGTTTAGGAACATCTGGGGGTTACTGAGCCCTGCACAAAGGGTTGGTGCACAGGCACAGGGGACGTACAGTGTCCAGAGGTGTCTGATGGAGCTCCCTCTCTCCCTGGCTGTTGCAGGTGCTCAGGCATGGCTGAGCTGGACCACTCCCTGAGCCTGGCCGACGCTCTGACGGAGCCGCCCCCGGACGTGGAGGAGGAGGTGAAGAGAGATTTCATCGCCACGCTGGAGGCTGAGAAGTTTGATGACGTGGTGGGGGAGACTGTGGACAAGACAGACTACGTGCCCCTGCTGGACGATGAGGAGCAGGCCAGGCCTGGCTCCCAGGAGCCCAAAAGCAAAGGCCACGTGGACGGCATTGCCGTGGAACGTAAGTGCCCCAAGTGTCCCCAAAAGTGCCGCTGGTACAGCTGGGACATCTGTGCTCGCTGTGACGCTGCTGGGACAGGAGCTGCTCTGTGCTGGCCTCAGTCTGACAGGCCTATGGCAAAAGCCAAGACTGAGGTCAAGCCCTGTTTGCTGCTTTTTGCCCTGTGAAACAGCCTCTCCCTGCTGGCCACCCCGTTTAGGGAGAGGCTCTGCTTTACACTCATGTTTGGGCTTGGTGCTTTTGGGGCTCTCAGAGGAAGCACTGACCAAATTCCACAAACAGTGTCCCAAAACAGCAGAGCTGTGCAAGGTGCCCCCACTCTGGGGGGTGGGAGAGCCAAGCAGGAAAGGTGGATGGTGAACTGGAAGATGGGAATGTTCATCATCTCCCAAATGTTTGACAGCAGAATCCCATGTTCTGACCCAAAGCTTTATTTACTTGGATTTCTTTGGCTGTGCTGGTTGTGTGCATGGCACAAAACATGCTGCAGCCTCTGCTGCTGCTGCTGCTGAGCACTTTCCAGCCCAGCTGCTATTTAGAGTCATGGAATCATTAAGGTTGGAAAAGATCTTGGAGATCATCAAACCCAGCACTGCCAAGGCCACCCCTGACCATGTCCCCAAGTGCCACATCCACAGAGATGTCACATCCCTCCAGCAATGGGGATTCCACCATGCCCTGGGCAGCTGGGCCAGGGCTGGAGA